GTAGTTGCTGCATCAGTAGCTGCTGCAGTAGTTGCTGCATCAGTGGCTGCTGCAGTAGTTGCTGCATCAGTGGCTGCTGCGGTAGTTGCTGCATCAGTGGCTGCTTCTGTAGTTGCTGCATCCGTGGCTGCTGCGGTAGTTGCTACATCAGTGGCTGCTGCTGTAGTTGCTGCATCAGTAGCTGCTGCAGTAGTTGCTGCATCAGTGGCTGCTGCAGTAGTTGCTGCATCAGTGGCTGCTGCTGTAGTTGCTGCATCAGTAGCTGCTGCAGTAGTTGCTGCATCAGTGGCTGCTGCAGTAGTTGCTGCATCAGTGGCTGCTGCTGTAGTTGCTGCATCAGTAGCTGCTGCTGTAGTTGCTGCATCAGTGGCTGCTGCGGTAGTTGCTGCATCAGTGGCTGCTGCTGTAGTTGCTGCATCAGTAGCTGCTGCAGTAGTTGCTGCATCAGTGGCTGCTGCAGTAGTTGCTGCATCAGTGGCTGCTGCGGTAGTTGCTGCATCAGTGGCTGCTTCTGTAGTTGCTGCATCATTGGCTGCTTCTGTAGTTGGTACATCAGTGGCTGCTACTGTTGTTGCTGCATCAGTCGCTGCTTCTGTAGTTGGTGCATCAGTGGCTGCTTTTGTAGTTGGTGCATCAGTGGCTTCTGCTGTAGTTGGGGCATCACTGGCTGCTGCGGTAGTTTCTGCATCAGTAGCTGCTGCAGTAGTTGCTGCATCAGTGGCTGCTGCGGTAGTTGCTGCATCAGTGGCTGCTTCTGTAGTTGCTGCATCAGTGGCTGCTGCGGTAGTTAGGGCATCAGTGGTTGCTGCAGTAGTCGCTGCATCAGTGGCTGCTGCAGTAGTTGCTGCATCACTTTCAGATCTTATCTGCGAATCTGACTCCACTACAGACCCAATAACTGGTGCATCAGCGGCAGCTGCTGCGGTAGTTGCTGCATCATTGGCTGCTTCTGTAGTTGGGGCATCAGTGGTTGCTTCTGTAGTTTGGGCATCGGTGGCTGCTACTGTAGTTGCTGCATCAGTGGCTGCTACTGTTGTTGGTGCATCAGTGGCTGCTTCTGTAGTTGGGGTATCAGTGGCTGCTGCTGTAGTTGCTGCATCAGTGTCTGCTGCAGTAGTTGCTGCATCAGTGGGTGCTTCTGTAGTTGCTGCATCAGTGGTTGCTTTTGTAGATGCTGCATCAGTGGCTGCTTCTGTCGTTGCTGCATCAGTGGCTGCTCTTGTAGTTGCTGCATCAGTGGCTGCTGCTGTAGTTGCTGCATCCGTGGCTGCTGCGGTAGTTGCTGCATCAGTGGGTGCTTCTGTAGTTGCTGCATCAGTGGCTGCTTCTGTAGTTGCTGCATCAGTGGCTGCTTCAGTAGTTGGGGCATCATTGGTTGATTCTGTAGTTGGGGCATCAGTGGCTGCTGCGGTAGTTGCTGCATCAGTGGCTGCTGCAGTAGTTGCTGCATCAGTGGCTGCTTCTGTAGTTGCTGCATCAGTGGCTGCTGCTGTAGTTGCTGCATCAGTGGCTGCTGCTGTAGTTGGGGCATCAGTAGCTGCTTCTGTAGTTGCTGCATGAGTGGCTGCTGCAGTAGTTGGGGCATCAGTAGCTGCTTCTGTAGTTGCTGCATCAGTGGCTGCTGCTGTAGTTGGGGCATCAGTAGCTGCTTCTGTAGTTGCTGCATCAGTGGCTGCTACTGCAGTTGCTGCATCAGTGGCTGCTTCCGTAGATGCTGCATCAGTGGCTGCTGCAGTGGTTGCTGCATCAGTGGCTGCTTCTGTAGTTGCTGCATCCGTGGCTGCTGCGGTAGTTGCTGCATCAGTGGCTGCT